AGAATAAAAAGAAATATACAATTTTCAATATATATATATATATATAAATACGTACATTTAACTTGTGTTGTCTGAGTACCAAGCACTTTTAGTACCAAACACTTTTAGAAGTCATTGCTTTTTCAATAAACTACACTGGATGTTTCAGGATAGAAATGGTTCTAATTCTTTTCCAGTTCCAGTGTGGTAACAATCACATTGTTCCCAGGATGAACTTTGTGTTCTGTCTTGCTTTAACTGTGAATGGGTTCTAAGGGGGAAGATGACTGCTTAGGGGAAGATGCCAGTGCTTCCAGCAAAATCGAGAGGCACACAAACACTACACTTATACCCTCTTACAGAAGAATCTCAAAAATTGCATGAAAACATTCATGCAGAGATCAAAAAACAATCCTCCCACTATTTCTAAATATGGAAGAGGTTAAATAATCTTAATCTTAATTTTAAATGAAAATACACTTAGTTTTTGTGTAAACTAACAATTCATGGGTGTGACGTGAGGTGCTGATATTAAAGACTGGGGCTATCAAAACTTCTTCAACACAGAATTCAAAATGAATCTTTATTGTGAAGTTGCATAGTTTGCTAGCTACTCTTCTTTTTGCTCAATTCCAGCCTCATCAGAAATCTTTCCCATCATACTGTGGTTGGAAAAAGTTGAGGAGCAAACAGGGGATCCATGACACCAACAGCTCTATGATCAACCATAATCGTTATGTTGTTTAAATCACAAAGTTCAATTTCCCTAAGTCAATTTCCCTAACTCTTCCATAAAGAGTTTGACCACGGAAGGAAAAGGTTAAATTTCATGCTGTCAAAGATAATTTATAGAGAAGGATGATACAATATTTGACAATGAATTAACCAAAGTAGTTACTGTGAATACTCAATTTGGTTTATGCAGGCATCCATGTGGGTATTTTAGCCTTGTGTGGTCTTTTCATTCAGTAGTCAGTGGTTTCTTCATGAAGGAGAGACTGCTCAAATCCTCTTGGCTTTACACTATGAACACAGTTCAACCAGCCAAGTTTATGGCTGGGCTTCTAGTTCAGAAATAGAGGTTCTAAACTTGCTTGGTAAGAGAATATATATAATATATATATATATATATAATATATATATATATATGCTCCAATATTTGACAAGCTTTCAAAATGTTTCCTAATGTTGCATTAAAATCTGAACAACAGCTATGACAATGTGTTATCTCCAAATAAATAAATAAAAACTATTCAAAAGCATCACACACACACCACATTATGAGAAAGCAACAGCTATTCCTGCTTCTTTCTTTCATTTTTCTCAGAAGTCTGGCCAAAAACTGTATTTTTCATCAATTGTTCTTAGACCAACAGCCTTTAGATATAGTACAAGTCATGACCTCATTTAAACAATAATACCATAATAATATAAAAGCCAGGGACGAAAGTGAGCTAACTCTAAAAAGCTTCATATAGCATCACTGAGGTCCCCCAGAGTTGTTATGAAAAAAGCAGAATGGTCTTTTCCTGCTTATCTCTGGCTATGTTATCATCAAAGTGAAAACAAGACAGTATGGGCTCAGGGTTCCAGAGTGAAATATTGTACATAATACTTTCTTTTTTCTCCTTATCTATAGACATTAGCTTTAAAAATTCTCAATGGAAAAACAAATCACATTCAGAAAATTAACATTTTTTTCATTAGAGAATATTATTTAAACTCTCTGAAGTAAATATTCACAGGTTCATTAAATTTGGAAATAACACAGATTGCCATTCAAAACAGAAAAAGTTTATTTGGTGAATGCATTTAGTAGTGGTTTGGCCAAGAAGCCAACATTAGTGTAATCAAATAAAAAGATCTGTGTTAGTCTACTTAAAACTCAGTGGGTCAAAAAAATAAATTCTAAAAATAAAATCTTCCTGGAGTCTCATCTAAATCCCAATATTAAAAGTGAAAAGAAATTATAGAAAAAAATCCTGAATATCTTTCACTTTCCTTGACTGCTGTGCATTACCTTTTTAGGTTTGAAATTGAATTGGAAAAGGAAATGCTAATACCAGTGACTACAACTAGCCTCTTACTAATAACCACATTTGGCAACTTGACCTTCCTCCATGCTTTTCAATTGGTGGGAGAAGTAATGGGAAATTCCACTACTGGATGGGGCACCTTGTGCTCGTAAAAGTTATAACCTCAATCTCTGTCATTTACTCTAACCTACTATGAAAAAAGCAAACATTTACATTTACATTACAAAGTAAAATTTTAAAAAATATTTTAAGTTCAGGAACCTTTAAAAGTACATGTCTTGAAAGTCTTGGAATCTGCCTTTGAACTAGACAGCCTCGCAATGTCAGTATTCTGTAAGATGAAGTTTTCTCCCTAGAGCTTGTCTCACTGTGTTAGAATCTCAACCACTCAATACGTATGCAGTTGCAGTAATTAAATTCGATAATCTAAATAAAGCCTTTAGCATAATGTAAATAGCGAGTGAGCACTCAATATACATAAGCCTCGATTAACTTACTTAACTTCTAAGCCTGAAGGTAAAGCAGCAGATAGATTCCACTCAGTCTTCTCTCAGCCTCTGCCTTCATCATCTTCCTGGTTTCCGGTCCAAATGCTCAATGGTCCTGACCCTCATAAAGCATGCAAACACATCAGTCTCATCATAAAAATCAAGAGGTAGAACATCTCAAGTTAAAATACAGACTAATACTCTTAAAACACCTGGCACATAATAGGCATTAAAAAGATTCTAGCTCATATCCACCTTCCTTACATAACATGAGTCAGAATTTTAATTAGAATGTAGGACCAACTACAAATTCTAGTACCATCTAAACAAGTACATCAACATAAATGTTTACCTACCTTTTCTTAATTTCTCAATTAAACATTCCCTAACGCTATCATGCTGTTTTATGAATTTAAATACTCTCCAACAGTGAAAAAGTTACCAGCCTTTCTCTACACAGAAGGTAATTTTTTTTTGGTGATGTGTGCTTATGTAGACCCCCAAGTGTTTTGAAAAGTGGTGAAGAGCAATAAAGACAGAGCTTGCAAATGTTTTAGTTGCCTTTGGACTTGGGTGAGGAACATTTTCTGTCCTCATTGAGTGGCTGAGAACCAATTATTTGGCATAAAAAGCTTTCAAGATTAAACTCGTTAATAATAATTAACATGTGCACTGTTTAACAAATTGATGTTTGATATAATTAGACATCCTAATTCTATTAATTACTTTGTAAATAAAGAATTTTTTTAGCACTTCTCATCTTTACATACTTTATGGCTTCTAACAGATTTTTACTATGACATTTGGAACCATAACCACTTATTTTCAAAATTATGAGAATTAAAAATTAAATTCCTTTATCATGGAAAACAAAATGAAAATCAAATATATAATTCTATAAAAGCTTATTTTCATTATTTCCAATGTAGAAAATGACTTAGAGACAAAGGAGATTTTTTTTATTTTTAAGTTTTGGCTAAAAAAACCACTAAAATTCAGAGTAAGCATTTTACCCTAACGTAAGAAAAGTCTATTAATTTTTAAATGTTAAGCATACTTAGTAACTCACACTTCCGGGAAGAGAATTGCTAACAAAGTAATTATTTTTAGCATCTAAATTTCTAATTCTAGAAATATTCTAAACAAGAAAAGGTGGTTAAAATCCAGAAGATAAAAGACCTGTAAATTTGTGAAAAATTAAGACTCCTTTCTGGGGGGAAAAATAGATAAGTGGCAAATGCCAAAAAGAAAAAATACAAATATTAGTAAATATTAAGCTTGTGGGTGATGGTTTTGTGCAAATAAATAGACTTTTAGACATAGACTTCATTGAAGTTCTAAATTTTACAGGAAAATGGTATGGAAAACCCCAACACATTATCTCTTTTAATGAGAATGGTTCTGTAGCTACATTGTTAAAATGACAATTTTCACAATTCATTTATGGACGCTAAAAACATCTCACAGGAGCATTCTTTTACTTAAGAACGAGAAAAACTGATAGTAAGGAATGTATGCAACATAGGTATATTTGAATTTGTTACTTGCTCAAATCCTAGCATTTAGTATTTACTGTTTAAAGACTCTGACACGGGAATGCATCAGAATCTATCCTTTTGTTTTGCCTGGTGACATGCTAGAAAAACAGGCTGTAACTACAGAAATGTGGATGTTATAGTTTTGCTTGCATTCAAATGCCCATGTTGTTTTTGGCCCATTCACACTTCTTTCTTTTCTTTCTTTTTTTTTTTTTTAATGACCAATGGCAGATCCAGGCTTAGCCAACACTTCTCATTGTGAAGTCTGCACATGCTTCCACATACCAGTCAATAAAAGTAATCTAAAGCAAGGTATACCGGTAAAACAAAGGTAAAACAATGAAAAAGTCTATATAAACTCACCAGAGTTGATCTGATTGCACTCATAAGCATTACCAATTACCATACTTCTCCATGAATCTAAATTGCCACTTCTGTTATGATTCTTTGTATATCCATCCAAATTGGAAAGGCAGGTCTTGATTTGGACTCCTGTGAGCTCATGTTAGCATGGCACCGGAGCTTATTTAAAACCTGACTGTTTTGGTTCTGATCATATAGCCCCACACACATCTCCTCTCGGTTTGTTTTCCTGGACCAAGATGAGTATGCCTATAATGTCAAATTTATCTTTATCAGCCCTCTAAAAACACTAAATGTCATGCCATAGTTGCTACAGTGTTTATTATTGAAGCTGCTAACACCATTTGAGCTGTAAGTACAAAGTTTACACTGAGAGCAAGTTGAATGAAAATATTTATTTACATATGTAACACAACTGTGAATTGGACTGCTATGGGCCTATCACAGTGGATACAAATATAAATGTTACTGACCATTTAGCAAATAAATCAAAAGGATTACAATAGATAGTAAAAAGTCATAGTCATAATGACCTATCCCCTAAGCCTCCTTTAACACATTGCAAATATATCAGTCATTTCTCTTACTAACCCTTCTTTAACTTGAGAATTATTGTCTGCTTTCAAAATAACATCCAATTCCTAACCTGTATAACAGTTTTAAATTCTTACTTGATGGAAAGATTAAAAAACCCTAAAGGAGATCTAAGCATCTCTTCTAGTGCATAAAAGTTTCCCCTTTGTTTCTATGTGCTCTTGTTGTCTTGCTCTTCAAAGGGACCCTTCAAAGGGTCGCGGCCTATGAAGTGACTGCAGGTGTGAGTGTATCCCTTAGATATAAGGCTGTCTCTGCAGAATGAGCAAATGTTAACAAAAATGAATCTCATTTAAAAAAATGGTGACATGCTAAAAGTGGCTTTCTTGAATCCCCAATATTACTAATCACTCATTATAATTTTTTAAATTCAAACACACTTTCTTGGGATGCAGTAATATGACTGGTGTTTAAATGCAATTCAAGTAGTTTTTTTAACCTTTTCTTGACATTTATTCAGTTGAAGATATACATTGAAAAATTCATTTGTCATTGGAAAGGATTCTTTATATATTAAGAATTTTTTTAAACACCTGCCATTGTGGAACCATAGAGCTCAAGTCATGATTACTTTATACAAAAAATGGGAAGATGAATACTCACCAAAGTGGGAAGACTCACACTCTGAGTACTCACCAATCAGTTTATGATTAAGGAGAGTAAGAAAGAATCATATTTACATACATATTTTTTCTCTTTTTCTCTCTTCCCTCGAAAGACCTTCATTCTTTGCATGTTTATTTGATTAGTAGTTCTAAATTCCCAGGCAATTTTCAAATTTTCTGCTTCCATGCCATTTATTCCTGATCAGTTAGCCCCCATGTCTGTCTCCCCAAGCTCTGATCAAAGAAGTCTCCACTAAAACCTAGACTATTTGAAAAGCACATCTTGGCTGATCTCCTATGGGAAAAAAATGATAATTTGTCTTAATGTGATTTTCATTTGAGAGGAAGATGATTTTTATCACCTAACATTGTCTTGATATGAGACAGGAGCAGTTCTTCATTTTATTATTTATTGGTGAAGAAATTGAATTGTTTTCCAGACTGATCTTTCCCCTGTCCCTTTCCATCAAGACCACAAGAGAACTACTCTTATACATACCAACTATGAAAACACAACATTCACATAATTACAAAATCTTCATATTTTAAAGTTGTCCATGTATGTATGTACATTCTAGATGAATTTTCTCATTACCTACATCAGATTTTGTAAAAGAGATAAAATAGCTTCAAAGATAAAAATTATACAAGATAGTAGAATTCATTAGGAATATGACAAATAATTTCACCAGTACCAGCCAGGGCACACTTCAAAAACAGTCATTGCTCTGAGGACTAATTAAAAAGATAGTTTTCTCAAAGAATTTAGTTATTTAAAATAGAACAATATATGGGCCAGAACTCACAGGTAAACAAAATCCCCTTAAATTTAAGGGAAGCTGTGATTTGCATTTGGGTTTCAATTAGATTCAATTTCAAAATGGTACTTTAGTTAGTGGTCATAATTAACATTTCTATTAAAGTGCTGGGTACTCCGGGAGTATATATGTGTTCTTAGGAGCAATTTTAAACACCAAGTTTTCTAATTCTATTGCTCTGAGACTTGAGACATTTGTATTTAAGTAGTTAATGTGAGATGAAGCCAGTGTCAATGACATTTTTCCATTTTAACAATGAAGTATGTGTCTCTATTCAACATCCATATCTAAGTCATCTTAAGTACTGCTTACATCAATGTGGGATGATCTTGGCTTTGGGATAGTCATCTGCCTTGTGTGTGCCTATTTTGTTTGCCTTTTATTATGAACTCTTCTATCTACTAGGTCACATTCATTTGATGCAATGATATCCTTTACCAAACTGATAAAAATTGCCATTGCGAGGCACAGCTCACATTTCTGCTTTTGTTTGACTTTCACTGTTGTTACAACAACCTGTCCAGGGTATAGCATCTGATCTTATATACTGTCATAGAAAAATATTGAAGTTGTGTAAGTTGCTTTGGAAAATGTTTGGATTTTAAATACATTATCTAGTTACTCCTATTAGTACAGTGTTCAGAAATATAATAGTAAAAATTGCATTCTGGATACACCAGGAGCATCTATACAGTGTAAGAATAAACATGCAGTCATCTGGTCCCCCCAAAGAGAATCTACTGTCCATGCTGGTTGAGGCAACACAGAACATGACTGTATCATTATTGCACATATTAAAGCAAGTGCTCACCCTTCATTCAAATCTGAGCAAGTTCACCTGGTAAGAACTGTAGAATCTGGGAACCTGAAAGACTATTCTATGTACAGTGTTTGCTGAACACATGCATTCCTGCTGAAAACACCAGAGTGCATTCGGCAGCTCATCATGTCATGCGAACAGGAACAGAGGTGGCTGAGAAAGAATGCAGTGATAACTGCACCATAAATAAGCAACTGATACTCTTTTTTCCCTTTGTGATGACTTGGAGTCATTCAAAACTGCACGTTTCTTTCCCACACAAAAGAACATCATAGGTCAACGTGCTGAAACTCTGAGTCAATGCCAGAACACAGCGAGTGTATGCACCACTGACGTGCGAAGGCCTGGGCTGCAGTTTCACACTGCCCCGCTGTTACACAGTCACTCTCTCACAGCTTCACAGCAACTGCTATTTTTTAAATATTTTATTTATTTATTTTTAGAGAGGGAAAAGAGGGAGAAAGAGAGAGAGAGAAACATCAATGTGTGGTTGCTGGGGGCCGTGGCCTGCAACCCAGGCATGTGCCCTGACTGGGAATTGAACCTGCAATGCTTTGGTTCACAGCCTGCACTCAATCCACTGAGCTACGCCAGCCAGGGCTAGCAACTGCTATTTCTAAAGCACATGGCTAAAGCTGACCTGCCATCTCTGTACTCAGATTACTTTTTACCACTCACCCACCTTTAAAAGCTTAGCCTAGCTTGTCTCACACATGGTTAAATAGAAAAATACCCTGAAATTCAATAAATGTCAGAGGTCAAGAGGAAGGTACCATCCTCACCATGAAAGCAACCAAGTCCCCATTTCAAGGCTGATCCCTCATACCTGATTACCTCATTCTTCATGCCTGTGGGAGGGGGACACTGTAGCAGAGCATGGAGACATGCTCCCCTGAAAACTTCCATTATGGGTGATGCAAGTCATGGGCACGAAGAAAGGAAAATGGAACCCATGGCACATGGCAGCTGTTCCGAGACTCCTGGATTAAAGAGGCACATCTTGTGGGCATGTGAAGAAGTTCTAATACAAATTCTAAAGTATCAACTGTTTCTATAAATTTCTTTGTTTTGCACTTCCCCAGTTTGATCGTGATAACTGGTCTTTTGGTTCTGGCGGTTCTGTTGAGGGATACCAGGAGATAGTTAGAAAAGCTCATAAAAATGGGCACAATAGATCAAAACATCTCCTTTGATCAGTTGGTGTATGTTGTCAGTCTATGTGTACAGGTGGTCTGATAATGTACAAATTACTAGTATATATTTTCACATGATGCAAACACTAACTGCCCTGCTCCTGTTACCTCCCATACATACATACCAGTTCAAAATTATGTCTCACTCATCAACTTTATAAAATATTCTATAGTCAAAAGCAATAAATTCTTCTGAGTTCTTATAAATAAATGTGTATTTGATTCCCAATACATATCATTTAAAGGACTAGTTATACACAACTGTTTGTGACTTTTTTTAGTTGATAATAGGCACTTTCTAAGAGGATTTGTGACCCAAAAGACTCTGAAATTCAGTCTCTAGTACTGCTCTTTCATAAGTGGATCTGCCTGAGCCATAGTAGTCTATTTGTCAACTTCTCAGAAGTCCAGCAGTAGAACTGTGTACAAAAGAGCTGTAGAAAATTGCAACCAGAATAAAATTATAGAAAAGCAGTTATCTGAGTTGAGCAACTTAACATCTACTTAGTTGTTTTTTAATCACATTTCATGTGTTATTGCTACACATACGAAAATTCATGTGTAAGCAATTCCATACCTGTGTTTCATTCTTCCTAAAAGATACAGATGTGCTACAAAAACTTGACTGATTACATTCTTTTTTATTTTATATCATTACAGTTAAAATTTTGATATGATTACTTAAATGTTTGGTTCTTTGCTAAGAGCCTTTTAACTTCACCTTTGAGCAAGTTTTAGAAACACAAATTTAGAACATTTATCACCTTTGGAAAACCAGCATCTCTAACATAAATCGTTAAAAGGCCCTTTTACCCTGTGGTGCAGTATTTCTATAATAATATATACTACATTAATAGTCTAGTGTTTATGGGGTTGATAAAAGCAGCTTACAAGATGGTAGCTGTTCTCCAAGACGGAGGGAAGAGGGATTCCTTACATTGGTGTTAATGATTACTATCTAAGTATAATATGGAAAAAGAAGAGGTATAGCTGAGCAAAAATGCAATCATGCACAAAACCCATAGCAATAAGTTTTCAATACCCCACACTGCTATCTGACTTAGGCAACAAAAGAGTCATTTAAATGGAGAAAACACAGCCTATTGGGAAAAATAACTTAACACTGAGTTATAGAAAAATATTCTAAGGAAAGAGATCATAAAATGACCCTAAGAGTTTACAAGGTTGAATTCTTCCTTGGCATTAATCTATAATTTTAACTCAAAAGAACAGTGAGGAAATGACAGCATGATCTACTCAGCCTGAGATCAGATTTGTCACGGCAACGTCGGCAGGTTGCACCCTGATTCTTCAAATATTACACTGCCTTGATTAACAAAAATCATACTTTTTAAAAAATTATAGACTAGAGATTGTAAATGAAAGCAAAGTGTGCATGCAGTCAACTGCATCATATACAAGCAACATCTATGTTTTTAATAATCATCTTTGGCAGGCCAGAATCCAGCTGGACATGCAATATTTACATATCAAAATCCATATCGTGTTCATCATATTGAAAGCAAGTGAAAATATATATGTATATACTGTATATACACACTTCTGTATATAGATGTATATACTATTTAAAGATATTAACAAATATATATGTATATATATATAAATTAGAAGTGGATTTCATCTTTGTCAGATTCAGGTGACTCAGGCCTGGAAACGCTAAAAATATCCTGACACGGAATTTGGGCAGGTACCTGGAGCGGCGTTTGGGACTTGGGAGAAGAGGTCTGGGACACGCTTTTTTCTGAGAGTATTTTTAAAATTTCTGCTACCTGCTTCTCCAAGGCAGTCATTCTGCAGCTTAGGAGCTGAATGTCCTCTCTGAGTTCGTGTTTGACTTCCTGCAGTGTGGTCTGTAAGGCTTGCTCCGGGATGGGGTAAAAGGGGTGCTTGGCATCAGCCTGAATGGGGCTGTGTTCAAGCGGACTTCGCACCTCACCGGCCTTATCCAAACGAAGGTCACTTTTTGTAATCCCACTGTCACAAGAATCTGTTTTCCTTAAAGGGTTTTTGGTCACACTGTTCTCTGAGTCGCTGCCCTTGGGGTCCTCTGACAATAGCCCCATGGACTCAGCTTTTGTGACATTATTCCAGTCTTCTTTTTTCTCCTCATGGGCTCCCATATTATTCTTGAGTCGCAGCCACCCTTTCCCATTTCCATTCTTCATTCTTATCGGGCTGTTGACTTTGAGACATTTGGGGTCAGCACCGCCATTGGGCTTGAGTTCCATTGCATCACGGTTGTTCTGCTTGAGGGACTCACTGGCTTTCACATAGGCCAGCGATGTCTGAATGGGCGTGATCTGGGACACCGTGACCACACTGGTGCCGGTGATGGACGCTCCATTCTGCAAGGAGCGGCTCTCTACCTGGAGCTGGTTCCGCTCCGGGTCGCTCTGTGTTGACCCCTGATTCCGCAGCTCCTTCTGCTGCTTGAACTTCTGGAAGAGCTTTCGAACCGGGTGATCCACAGGGATGCTGAGCGTGACTTCGTTCTTCTGCCTGAGGCGCTCCTCCTCCTCTTTCTTCACATCACTGATTTTACGGAAAATGATCTGTGGTGGGGCAGAGATATTGAAAATAAAATAAAAACAGATGAATTTATAATTGTGTGACACCATACCATATGTACTTGGTTTTACAGAGGAAACCCTTGAACACAGGGCAAAATCATTTCTGAAGGCAAAAAATGTTCTAATACTGTTCAACACATGCATGCAATGTACTTAAAACTCAGCATGGGACTGTTGACTAAGATTACTTAGCTTATTTAATTCTAGGGAGAATATAGTGAAGAGACAACTGAATAGAGATACTTGCTTTCTAGTTCATGTTCCTATTTAATAGAAAAAAATATATATTAATATATATGTGTGTATACATATATATGGGTTAAGAAATACATATTTGTCTCTTAAATTTACTTGTAATACATCACTGTTTTGTATGTTTTTCTTTAATATATATGATTCAAAACCATTTTCATACCATCCTCTGTTTAAAAGTCAGATAGTAAAATTTCCAGGGAATAAAAGTACTGAAGAGTTAGACAGTTTACCAACAAAGCACCTGAGCTGGATATGAGGAAGGATTACATTTATTCTTAGGGTCCCAGAGGGCAGACCTAGGATCCATAAGTAAAAGTTTCTGGAAGGTAAACACTACCTCCGTGTATATACTTAATTTCAAGCTGCTATCTATTAACTGAGTAATTTGAAAATTCATGAACCTCACACCACTAAGATATTCAATCAGAAGGAAGGACATTGTCCATGTAACACTTTCACTGAGTGGGAGGTTGAACTCTTCAAATTCCAATTTTCTTTAAATTTTAAACTAAAATTAAATACATAGTGTATGTGATGTTAGATGAGTATCCACAAATAAATAAGCATACTTTTATGAACAAATGTATTTTGAAAATGATATTAGAAATTTATAATTCCATCAAGAGAAATAAAAATATTAACTATATAAGAAATTATCACTTATATTATCAGAGTTAGAAGTGAATTTAATAGTGTAAGATTTTTGACTGAGTCCTTCTGAAAAACAAAATAACTGCAGAAGAAGGCTGTAAGGAAAATTCAAAGGGGAGTTAGACGAAATGCTTTCAGAAACAGACAATTTTATGATAACAGCAAGATTACTTACTTCCATCACCCTTTCTCATTACGTTTTTGGTTAGATTGGAAATATACGAGAAGAGTCCCTGGCATATAATAGACTCTCAAAATATGTTGGCTCTCTTCTGTGAACTCTCATAAAATACTTTGTATTTGAAGCCATTTCCATCACCTCTTAAAGATTCAGCTTGCAGGAGAAACATATAGTCATTGATTTTATACCAGAAACCCATAGTAATGATGGTCTCGTCAACAGGGAAGTGAGGGAGACAGCAGTTCTCTAAGGGCACATTTTAAAAAGTGAGACTGATGCACTAAATATAGCTTATCATGTGGTAATGATTTGAAATTTAAAATAAATATTTTCTAAATTCAATAACCGTCTGTAAAGATCAGCATATTTTCCCCATTCTAGTGGCACAGGATATTAAATCTTTTTAAAAGATGTAATACTAATCTCCAAGCCTGACATCAAAGCTCCAACAGTTTAATTAGACATCTTTCAAAGGGTTGACAGGTTTCTTGTATCTCCTAAGTAAACAGAGTTTGTTCTAAGACTTCAAGATATGCACACTCTTAAAAGAAAAGATACTAACACTCTCTGGGGCCAGACATATCCAAACATGGAAACTCAGACACTTTATTCGTGTTTCATGCCCTATTGCCAAGAAGGCACTCACTTTGGTTCTATGAACTGACATGCTGGACTAACATAAATAATTGGCCACGTCCTCCTTCATGCTCACTTCTTACCTTTTTTGTTTTTTTAAAGATTGTTACTTAGCCTTTCATAGACATAGCCTAGTGCAATGTGGTAAGTGGCAGTAGCCTTCCCATTTGGGAAAAAAGGATCTATTTCAAACTATTAGTGGAGGAGGGTAGGTACTTGACACAGGGATGTCAGATAAAATGCAGGATATCCTTGCAATATTTAGGATATACTTACACTAAAAAAACTGCATTATTATTAGTTGTTTATCTGAAATTCAAATTTAACTAGTATCCTGTATTTTTGTTTGCTAAATGTGGCAGACTTATTTATATGTGATAGACAAGGACATTACTGTCTCTGCAATGGCCACATGTGAGGCTCATAGTTTATGAGAGATTTGGGGTCCTTGATGACTGTGGATTTGGGGACATCTGAGGCCAGAAGCTTTATATTTAAAATAATGGCTAATAATTGCTTACAATTATTGTGTGCTTACCAAGTTCAGGATGATTGGTGATTTAAGAGTGTAATATGCACAAGTAAAACATCAATTTAAAAAAAGCCATTTCCAGCTTTCTTGACTCCCAGCTGCATTGCACCACCCCCGCCCCAGCAGCCAAGAACAAACAAAGGTGCTTGGACTGCTGAGAACAAAGACTCCAAATGTCAAACTGTCAGAGTCCTGAGAGTCTACACCAGGGGACAAAGCAATAGAACTGGATTGGCACATTCTGCCACCAAGAAGTTGTAAAAGGACCTGAGAATGATAAAGAGAGAGGTTTGGGACATTAGGAGACTCCTAAGAGTGTGGCACATTGGCCTGTTCCCTCTACTCCCCACTCCAGGGGACAGGGGATGAGGTGATATTAGACATAGCTCCCTTGAGGTTGCGTGGTACTTATGAACATAGAGACAGGTCCTGACTTCTCATCTGGAGTTTGCAGAGCAACACAACCTACGCATCTCCTTTCTGGAGCCAAGAAAGCTGGGTGGAAAATGCAGGTACCCTCACTGGAGTGAAAAGATTACCTCCTGTATAGCCTGGATGGGCATGGCTAGGATCCCCATGGGCACAGGAAACCACAGAAGAGAGCCAATTGTAATTTCAGCCCCTACCCCACAAAAGCCTGGTGAGGCAAAGGTACCCCCATGAGGTAGAAGAAAGTATTACACCCAGTAAAATACCTGCTGACAGGACTTACAGACCATTACACATGCCCCACAATAAATAAAGCCCTGGAGCTCACTTACACAGTTCAAACAGCCAACACTATGGATTAATCAGAAGCCTTCCAGATCTTACAGACAAGCCCTTGGTACTAAAGTGACTGCCCTGCTCTGCACCACACAAACCTGTCTCAGTAACAGGCGCACAGGCAGTCTTGAGCCCTGTGAAAGGAGAAGTTGGGGCAGAAGAAGGGCCAGGAGGAGAGAGAGGGTCACGAGGCAATTTCCTACGCAAGCTACAGAATTTGAACAGGAACCTAACTGAAAATAATAACACTTGCATTTGATCAACTACTTACCATAACCAGGTTTTTAAGCCAAAATTAACTTAAAAAAACATTACTGGATTGGATGGAATTTGCTGAATGAGACTGAATTTGTCTTCTATCTTTTGACTACAGAAGAGAAATTAAGACTAATTGAAAAACAGTTATAAGCAAAAAGATTATGTCCACACATGTTATCTAATTTAACTGTCATAACTGCTCTGTGAAATAAGTCCTATTATTCTCATGTTACAGAAGTGCAAACTAAGGCACAGAAAGTTTAAGGGGTCTGCCTTAGGTCACACAACTAGTAAGTGACCAGGATACAAGTCCAAGGAGCCACATTCCAACAGTTTACACCCCACTGCAGCTCCTCTGGGTGACTTTGACACTTCCTCCCCGACCCTGTGAAAACCCAGATAGTTAAGTGGGTGAAGTAGGGAGTGATACAGCAGTTTTACACCCAGCAAGTAGCCCTTCACAGAGCTTTTGCCTTGGAAAACCATCCCTGAAAGCAGTCAATTGAACAAAAGACTGAAGCCCTGTGCTTGTTGAGTAATTAAGAACCTTGCCAAAAAAAGCTGAGGAGAGCCTTAAGGGAGACAGTCTTTAAACTGTCCTTACTCTCAAAGGCAAAGCCTACACTTGTTGTTTGTTGCTTTGTTTACAATGGCCATTCTGACCAATGTAAAGTGGTATCTCACTGTGGAGAAAAGGGGACCCTAGTGCACTCTTGGTAGAATTGCAGACTGGTACAACCACTATGGAAAACAGTACAGAATTTTCTCAGAAAACTAAAAATGGATCTGCCTTTTGACCCAGCAATTCCACTGGTAGGATTATATCCTAAGAACCCTGAAACACCAATCCAAACAAACTTATGCACCCCAATGTTCATAGCAACACAATTTACAAGGAGCTCCTACCCTTTGGAACAGCATGGATGGCACTGGAAAGCATTATGCTAAGTGAAATAAGCCAGGTGGTGAAAGACAAACACCATATGATCTCACCTTTAACAGGAACCTAAACAACAAAACAAACAAGCAAAATATAACCAAAGACACTGAAATAGAGAACAGGCTGACAATGACCAGAGAGAGGGGAGAGAAGAGGGAATTTCAGGGGAAAAGGAGAAGGAAGGGTTTAGAGGAACAAGTATAAAGGACACATGGGCAAAAACTAGGGGAGGGGGTGGAAATGGGAGGGAGGTGGGGAGCACTAGGGGGGTGGGCTGAGATGGGAGTAAAAGACATTAAACTGTACTTGAACAACAATTAAAATTTTTTTTAAAAAGTTATCAAAAAAAAAATGCAAAACCTATAGGCTTGTCTACCTGTTCTCAAAATACCTGCCACCATTCTGTGGCTTCTTGTTCCCTTCAAGGGAACCCTCGTATTTTTTTTAACTTGCTTCTACATGTATTAAATTTATTACCTTTATGAAAGGCAATGAACAAGGAAGATCAAAGAAAGTGATTTTCCCTGTACTTAAATACCATCTTTGATCCAACTAATTCCCGGATTTGTTTGTTATGGGGACAGCAATTTTTGTCTGTATCTCCAGTCTCTACAACAGTGTATGTTACATTGAAAGACCCTAATAAATAAATGTTATTTATTAATTCAATAACCTTTTCATATATTCAGCAAATATATGGTTGTAATAGGTCTATGAATCAAAAATAGTACAAATAGGAAGACTTTTTTCTACTTTTATTATTT